ACACACACACACACACACACACACACACACACACACACACACACACACACACACACACACACACACACACACCATCACCCTTCCCCAGCCTAGAGGCAGCCTTCAGTGTCAAGAGAGCGAGCAGGCAGAACAAAGAGGAGCTCCAGCAGCCGGACTGAAGGAGCGGTGGGTTTCAAAGACCTCCAGTTGTAATAATGAGCAGGTCTGGGGGAGGAGACACTTGGTGGTGGGTGAATTCATATGTTAATGTGCATTTTTGTGGAAGGAGACCACACACGCGCAGACGTTTAGGGAGGTGAATGGTGGAGGAAAAAAAAAAAACGAAGCGCTCGGCGGGAGGTCTGCGTATTTCTGTTGAGGAGAACTAATGTGTGAAGTTCTCACGCTGCCCACCACGCCTGGCAGAGCGGGCGGGGCTTCGCTTTCCATACGGTAACCATGGCAATGGTGAATGTGAGTGGATGGCGGGGTCGAGGAAGGGGGGACATGAATAAGCATGTGCTATAACTGCAGGTTTTGGCTGACCTGATGGTAAATTAGCAGACGTTTTCCTTTGTGTTTTATTTTTTTCAAATCATGCACTGATTTCAGTTCCACACAAAAATCCAAGTCAAGCCAACAACAACTGATTTTAAATAATTGCCTATATGATGACTTTAAAAACCATCCCTAATTAATCCCATCCCCCCATGTCTGTCGGTCTCATTTAGCCGAGGTGGAGCCCTGCGTGACGAACCCGTGTCTGCACGGCGGGAAGTGCCTTCCTCAGGGAGCGGGCTACAGCTGCTACTGTCCACAAGGATACGCTGGAGAGAACTGTGAGATCGGTGGGTCAGACACAAGCACACACAATCTCACACAGCAAAAAGAAAAGGAAAAGAAGCACAGATATAAAATGGTCACTCCATTCGGCTTCAGAACTGCTGATTGGCAGGTCAAAGGTCACGCTGTCTCTTCACAGTGAGAGAAAGTAAAGGAAGAGTTCAAAGTGTCTTTCAGAGAAGGATGTTGGTTTAGGTCGGAACAAACGTACTGCAGAGAATATATTTCTGCTCTATGATGCTCAAATGAAAATTCAACTTTTCTCTAAATATTTCATTATTTTTGTCTTGAATATTGGAAATGAACTGGTTTCTGGTTCATCACCTGTAATTAAATGACTCATATTAGGTTTAAAAACATTAAAAATAATCATTTTTGATTCATCAGCTTAAATCTCACAACTGAATTTTCACTACACAAGTCAGACTTGTGTCAGAAAAATCAATTTTTTTGAGACAGACAAGCTAAAATGAGTAATCGACTGTATTTTATCTGAATTTCAATCAGATGTTTGATCAAAGAACAAAATCAGGACCAAACTGATGAAGAAAGAAAAGATGGATGTAAAAAAAATTGTGTTGAAATAACTTCTGATTAATATTTTTGGATCATTAAAAATTTATATTCTGAATCTCATAGTTAACAATAACATGATCAAAATAGTTAAAAGAGGAAAATATGTCTTAAATGCTAAACAAAAACTATCAATTGTAATCATGTTTAGAGAGCACTACTTTCTGTAATGCATCTTTTTCACTTCATGTTGTAAACGTTCAAAAACAAATTACTTTTAAAACCAGTTCCTTTTTATATAACAAGCTGCTCAAATCTGAAAACCCTCTCCTTACCTCAGTTTATCTACAGACAGGTGACATCTGGTGACATTGGATAAAATAATAA